AGATTTAGTTACAATGATAGACGGGAGAAACTTTGAGCTTCCCAGGGTAATGGACACAGGTACATTAACGGCTCCCAGCTGAATGTATGTGGGTTTTTTCATAGAATTTCACTTCGGCCCTCAATTTCTGTAGTAGTGTTGCTGTTGATATACCCTGGCTTCTCCCTCTCCTCAGGTTCTGAGCAATCTGTTCCTGCTCCCAGCTCCTCTCCTCTCCTCCCGTCCCAGTGGTTTCTCCTCAGCACCCACTTGTTACTCCACACCAGCCCTTTCCTGGGCCTGTGCCTTCTCTTTAGGGAACCTTTCCTGGCCTTGGGGCCTCTAATCCTCAGGCTCTCACCCTACCCCGGGATTGTTCTTCTCCGGGCTATCTTCCCTCCCCCTGGGATTTGTCTTTGACAAGTGGTCACTCCTCACTGACAGCTGTCAAAGGTTGCATGGCTGTGTCATGAATGTGTCAGGTATAAGGACCCTGCATGCAGGAACCATGTGTAACTGGGGCCATGCAGAGCTGGGCCAATGGCAGCTCCATGACTCCAGTTTCAATGGCTCCAACTGATGACCTTCATTCTAAACCACTCCCTTTCCCAATAAACTCCATGTGTTTTGTTTTGTTCTTTTTGTTTTTTGTTTTTTTTTTTTTGAGTTTGGTGAATCGTGTTTCATTGCCCGAAGCTGAAGCAAAGAACAGTTGCCTTTACAGAACCTCTAACTACTTAGAGTTTAAGGCTTTTATGTTGAGAGAGTGGTGAGTTTTCAGGAGTGCAGAATCACTGAGATTGTGATGGTCTAATCCTCACAGCACATCAGCATGTCTCATCTCTGATGGTCATGAGACTTTCGTCATTGCCCGGGAGTTTGTCAGTTCATGTGTCTCTGACATGTTCCTGTCTTCTCTAAGTAGCATTAGTGACAACTTTAGATTGTTTCTGTAGTCAACCAGTGTCCATACAACTTTTTAATGTCCCATACACAGTCTTACTCTATTTTTCATCTGCCTTTGGATTTTCCTTGTTATGTGGCTTTGAATTTGGTCAGTCTCTTATTGTTGGCCACTACTATGGGATTGGCCATTTTGGGAGAAGTTATATTGTCTTGGGTTTTTAAATGTTACTTCTGTTTTGCCATGGGGCATACCTTTGTGTTCAGGGAGTGTTTGGATCGGTGCTTGGAGGTCCAAGTTTGGTGGCACTTGGTTCATCTGTGTTTTGCTTGAGCTCAGGTGTGGAGACACATGGTCCTGGAGGAGCTAGGAGAGGTATCCCTTCTGACCTCACACACTAGGCTTCAGGAATTGTGTAGGGACTTGTGGAGGGGCAGTGCTCAGCCTCTGCTCTAATGAGCCAGGTTAAATGTATTACAATGTTTTTGTGTGCTGGTGACTGTGTGGTAACATGTATTCTGACTTCACGTACCATGTTGCACCAAAGGTTTGAACTAGGTGGTGAACCATGCATGATGTGGCCAGAGTTCTACCAGTCTCCTAAATCGGTGTTCCTGCAATCACTGTTGCTGCTTACATGTCCCATGGTTTACCATCTCAAGTCAGATGATTTTACTCTTCTGTTTATATCCTCTCAGGAGTCCTCAACATATTAAAAATAAACTCAGATTCCTCCCCTATCTCTGTGTACATCATTGGTCCCCCCCCCTTTTTTATTGTGTCAACCCTCATTCAGTAGGATTCCACAAATCCATTTCCTTAAGATATTTTCTATGAATAATTTCATTAAAATTAACCACACACCATGTAATTGTATTGCCCTGGGTCATCATTTGTCTTTCCTATGACATCTATCTAATCTTAAAACTTCTATTTTCATATAGGCATATATTACATACTTATAGCTAGCACTAAGTAGGTGGAGCCCAGAGGATTCCAAATTGGAGCCAGTCCTGGGATACTGTCCTAGTATACTTCCTACTAATGATAGACACATCATGACAAAACCCAACGTGGTGGAAAGAGTTTATTTGGCTCCTATCACCTGTTCAAAGTTCCTCATTAGGGATGTTATTGTGGGAACTCTGGCAGATGCAAAGAATAGCTGTTTCCTGGATTGCTCTTCATGGCTGCTTCAGTTTGCTTTCTTACACAGTTCAGGACCAACTTACAGGGGTGGAGCCACCCACAGTGGGCCCACATCTCCTACATCAGGCATTAGTAAAGAAATGGGTTCTGTAACCTTCATTCAACTGCAAAATCCCAGTTGCAGTTTCAGACGCTCAGCACAATAGCCCTCTTTGTTTTTGAGCCATCTTTCTGTGTAAATACATGGATGTGGACAAGATTATTTTGAGTGAAAGAAATCAGATCCAGAAAGTCGAACGCCAGAGCTACTCTCCATCATATGTTTCTGGCCTACAAACTTCCAAAGTGAGTATAAAACTTGGAGGAATGGAGAGGGCAAGGGACACCAACAGGACCTGACACCTAGCTTTTAGAGTCAAAGTTTGGCTGTATGTATATTCCCCTTACACAGTTAGATATCATGTCCTCCTAGAGATCCATCTGACATCCTCCTTGGGAGCTTGTACCTGGCAGAAGTTGAAACATGGCCCTGTGTGTGTGTGGAGGTAATTTGCTGTGGGGGGTGTCGAGAAGTAACAGACACATAGTTGTAGAGGGGAAGTGTTACCTAGCAGGGCCTGAAAATAGACTGTGTGTGTGTCTCTGTGTGTGTGTGTGTGTGTGTGTGTGAGCGAGAGAGAGAGAGAGAGGGAGAGAGAGACAGAGACAGAGACAGAGACACAGAGACAGACAGAGAGACAGAGACACAAAAGCCAGGTTTGACTGTAAGGAGAGGACAGTCAGCATGAGCTAACACCATACCTGTGTGTATGTGTGGCATTGGTTGTAGGGGACGAGGTAACTAGCATGATGTAACACTTAGCCATGAGTATGCATGTGAAGTTTTGTTCAAGTGAAGGTGATACTGTGGAAGACATGACATTCTAGTCATGCATGGGAGCCTTTCAATATAGGGGGATATACCTAGCAGGTTCTGAGATGTGTGTGGGTTTGGCTTTTGCTGTGAGGGAGGGTCTATTCTGCAGGACAGGATAGTGAGCCATATAAGTGTATGAGGCACTTTGGCTGTGGGGTAGGTTTCAAGACCTACTAAGTACCATAGTGTAGATAAAAAACCCTTACACACATGCACACTCTCACTTGTATGTGCATGCATGTACACACACACACACACACACACAGAGAGAGAGAGAGAGAGAGAGAGACAGAGAGAGAGAGACAGAGACAGACAGAGATAGAAACAGAGAGATAGGTATTAGATCCTGATAGACTTCTTACTCTTTCACAGCCCCAGCTCTCCTCACAGGGATAGGTGTCAAGGTTAGCAATGCAGTCCCAACCTTACAGCCAAACCATTATACACAACCATGGCTACCTGTCAGGTCTTGCTAGGAATCCTCTCTACTATAGCAATGCCACACACCCACAGTAGGTGCCAGGTCCTACTAGGTACCACTCCCCTAAATCCATAGCTCCACCCACAGGCCTAGAGAAAAAGTAGTGGGACCCCACAGCCTGGTGAGGGTTCCTACAGGTCTGTATGCATGATTGTTTTCACATGCGCATGTGTCTGTGTTTTTATATATGTGAACCTGGTGTTTGGTACGGGGCAAGGGGTACTTGACAGATCCTAACACCTAACCATGTTTGTGTATATGGAACTTTGGTTGAAAGGGTAGAGACAAATACCAGAACCTGTCACTTGCCTTATATGAATATGGGGTGCCGTGTCATAGGTGTTTTCCTGTGGGTGAGGGGTTTCCTAGCAGGATGTGATACCTAGCCCTTGCTGTGGGACTTTAGCTATATGGTCATGGATCTCTAGGAGGACATGACTCCTAGTTGTGTAAGAGGAATATTGGTAGTACGGATGGATGTACCAAAGACAAGCTGATGCCTAGCCCTGTTTGGAAGGCTTTGGCTCTAAGGATGTTGGAAATGTAACAGGACCTACCA